CCCGTGGATTATAATCGTCAATCTTATAATATAATCATCACCAATACACGTTTTTTTAAAAAACCAAAATCACCACTAATATGCAATATAGCCCTGTTTAGTATATTTATAATATCTTTTCCAATCGGTGGAACGAACGCCTTTACTCAATGAAAACTAGACATCATCAAACCTTCAACGTATCATAGCACAACATATTGGGTCTGTAGAGATTACACATAAAAATACCGGGGCGGCACGTAAACAATGAGAATATTAAGGAGCGCGAACGATTGGAGGTTGAAGATGTAAGTACTGAAACTTTCTATAGAATGTACATAAATGAGTTTAATGAAGGGTTTTACTGTTTGGGAGTCAGTCTCCCCAGAGAGTCAAGTCGGTGGTAGTTTCGATGTCATCCCAGTTGAAGCCTCTCTGCAAGGCTGGCGGTGTGATGATCAACCCTTCTGCCATACTGTTCATGAGTGCAGGCATGTTAAATACCTCTTCTTCATCCCAATAGATGCTCCTCGCCGCCGCGTCCCCTCCTTCTTCTAATGCTTCCGAGTACTCAGAGTTACAGTCCAGAGACAAAGCCGAGACGTTTTTCCCAGCATCGTCACCGCAGAGACGCTTCTCAGCCGCTTCCATGGCCGCGAACTGGATGGACCTGAGGGAGGAGGTGTGTGGATTAAGGCGGGGCAAGGAGGAGGCAGCGTCAGGGAAATTCAGGGACGCAGAATCGCCCTTGAAAGAAAGAGCAGCGACGTCGTGGGCTATGGCAGCCGTGTCAGGGTTGGCAAAAGTGCCGAGCCACAAGCGTGCTTTGTTGTTGTTAGGTTGCCGAAGCTCGCAAACCCACTTGCCGTTTCTTTGCCTCACGCCTTTGTATGTGGATGACGAGTCTCCTGGAACTTCTTCCTTCCAGCCCTTCGCTTCTTGTTCATCATTTCGAGAGCCAGAGTATGGGAGAGGCAGTTTACGTTGAACAGAGAGGTTGGGTTTCAGAAGGTTTTTGTGACTCCAATTAATTTGTGGAGACTGGTGTGGCCCATCTTTACGCCGCTACCCCTTTGCTTTTGCGGCACCTGGAAAACGCGTTCGACGTGCGCTAATTGATGCCTCAGCGTAATTCTTTATGTTCCACGTGTAAGCGTTCCAAGTCTTTTTCTCAATGTCGCGTGCCGAAAAGGGGAAAATATGAACAACTACCCTCCCTTTTCAAACGTGATCCTTCCTCTTTAATTCAATTTCTTTCTTTTTTTTTTGGGTACATGATTAATTAAGTTTCTTTCTACTCTCTGGTCACATCTGCAATGAAAATAAAAAAGTCGTTATGACTCAGTTTTTAATGATTTAAATTTATTAAAGAATATCAACATCATTTCCAGAGAAAATTCATATTAATTATACATAATATTAGGAAACGCGTGTCCTCATCCGTTGAAAGCAAAAGCGTTTCATAGTGATATCTTCACATATTATATATTATGTAATTCTTATACGGAAAAAAAATAATGTATAATTGCCAATAAAATAAAAACGACGATCAGTATTCCTGGTTTCTTTAACAAAAAACTTAAATAGTTAGGATTTGTTGTATTATGGGAGTATTTTGACACGTCCAACTCAGGACACACACTTTAATTTGTTCTCCCAATATTGTCACCCGAGGCAGGTCCTTCCAAATGTCAATATCATGACGCACAGGCAAGCAACACGCAAAGCGGTTTCTCGAATTTTCTCGTCTTCTCAGTTTCGGAGCTTATTTCGTGTTGGGTTCTTAACATTTGAAATACTAAAATAAAGAAAATGGTGTACCGAGATAAGATTTAAAGGGGTTATGGTGGTGTAGAAATAAGTTGTGCAACGCTCGTTATGGAATTTGGCACAGGACAAATAATCATGGGAGAAGTCATGCTGCCGCAACAGTGAAAAGTAATGCCCAAGTTAGGTTGTGTTTTTGACGTTCAAGTTAGGTCCGTTGTCTTTTGGCCAAAAAAAAAAGTTAGGTCCGTTGTGGAGAGCATGAGCTTAGTGAATAGTGACGGCGCTTTCGAACGGGAAACGCTCGTGTCAATTAAACGGTCACGTGGCGACGCACCCCCTCCCAGGTCGGTCGTCAGTGGTTTCTGTAACTTTTCACATTTGCCCTTTTTCAATTCAACAAGGCTGGTGTGGGCCAAGGGGATTTTGTTTCCCCACAACAAAAGAAGAGGTTGTTGATGAATATAGTCGCTGCACTTAACCGATACAATTAAAAAAATGATGCTGCCTGAATTCAGTTTTTTCCATGAGGATAAGAATAAGGTGAATTAAATTTCAGTTACATCAAGGCATATCTTATGATACCAAAAGCAATAACAAAATAGGCATAAAATGGAAATTTGGAATGAATTGAGAGATTTATATCTTCTAGCTGCTATATACTTGTACAGAATATTTTTTTTCAATTAATAATTTTTGGGCTTCTTATTTATACGTGAGTCAAAATAAAATTTTTCTCATATGCTTATTTCATATTTTCTAAATCACGAGTTAATGCTAAAAGCTCCAATGGCTATTCCAAACAAGCTTTGGCTGTTGGGTGGGAGGGAATGTGTGGAAATGGGGTTTGGGGTGAGAGGAGAGAGAGCAACAAAAGGGCATTGGCTGTGGAGTGCTCATGGCCGATTTGTTGACGCCAATTGGAGCTGACGTTCCCATTGAGGTCAAGCCGAAATCATGATATTGCAGAACGCAAGAGAGGAGGCGCTGAAAGGTGAAGGCAGGGCGAACCTTTACGTTTTTCAAATTCTCTTTCCGCTATCCTGTCATGTTTATTTCTCCAACCCTTAATTAGTTTCAGATTGCTTCGCTTCACTAACATCTGTATATATAATTAATGTCCCACGTTTAGCTACTAACCACCCCAACGTGACTCGAAATGCTTCGTCAAAAAAGAGGTTCTCCGATTAAACAGGATAGTCACAGATTGCGGGCGTGAACCCCACTACGCCATCACGATTGGCTCGATGGACCTGTTTGGTTACAATGCGACATAAAATAAATCCAATGTACAAAGTGAACATCAGGACATGAGAACCTAGAAGGCCAACAATGATTTTGAAATCATATTCAATTACGCTGCAAGACTTGCAGCATTTCCCTGCCAGCTACATACACGAGTCATGTACATACTAATCTGCAACCCACACTAGCTTTGTTGGGTCATTTCTCTAACTAGCCTACTTCATTACCGTGTGTGTCAGATTGTATTGTACTCTTCTAACTAAAAGAATAAAGGTAATGCCTCATATTAAGTTCTCCGCATGCTTCCCAATTTACCCATTTCAACATACCATCACCAGCTCCTCTGAAAATTCTTCCACCAGAAGCCCCAAAATAGCCAGCTCCAGCTCCCCTGCCACCTCCTCCTTGTGCTCTTCATTTTTCTTCCATCCATCATCCTCTCTACCAAAGTCTTGTTGGATCATCATATCAATTGTTTTAGGTTCCAATTCTCTCCATAATTCCAGCTTCTTACAAACCTTCTTATCACTGTTTCCCTCTCCTCCAAGGAATTAAGTTCTCTCTCTTCCTCCACAATGAGATCTGAAATCAGTCTCTTGTGGTCTTCCGGGATTCCTCGTCTTTCATGGGTGCTAGATTGGCAGATGACTTCTAAGACTAACCTGTTATAGTCCTTTTCTTCTGGTGTCTCATCGGCTTCCTCCTCCTCTTCTTCTAACATTCTTTTCTCAAGTTCAATTGGATCCAGTTCTGCAAGTTTCTCAAAACTACGAAGTTTGTACAATAGTTGCTGCTTTGCTCCTGTCGAATTAGCAGAAAAAAGAAATTAATAATTATAAAGACCTCTGTGCATAATAGTCTACTTATAATTGCTCAAACATTTATTCTAATTTTCAAATCAGCATATACAAATGATCAGTTATTGAAGTTACTTAAGAGTTATAATTAGAATATGTTATAAGGTTCAGATCTGGAGATAGCTAGTCAAAATCAAGTACTTATCTATATAGGTAGATGTACTCAATTGGTTACGTATGTCTGTCCAGACTCTGTTTCACCTTATCTGTACCAAATCATTTACTCGCCATTTATGCGACTCTGGTAGACAGGCTTAGCATCTATGTTGGTAGAAAATTTTTTATGCCTAAATTGAGCATGGGATACTTGTACTATTTCAAGTATATTAATGCAACACATCCGGCCAGCAATAGCTCTTACAGGTTCCACCACTTGCAAACCAGTAAAATAGGTAAAAAAAATACACCAGTACTGAAGAGCAATAATGATTCTTTACCCTAAGTATTACTTGCTCAAATTCTACCCAACGCATTGAATGGAAGTAGCCAAATCAAGACAAAACTCCTTTATCACAAGGGTGGGGTCGTGTTCAAATTTATGTTAGAAGACGGCCACGTCCACGTCCATAAGAGCGTATGACTTATGTTGTAATCTCTAAAACTTGAATGGCATAATAATCATATCAGAATGAGGCTACTCTACACATATATTAGATAATCAAGTCTGAAGATGAGTGTAGGACAATTTGTTGGAGGAAAACGACTGCGCAACAAACACCGATTGGTGCACAATTAAAATTTTGTGACATACTCTGTAAAGCGGCATAGCTGCACTCCAAATCAAAACCGTCGTCCTCATTGATGTTCTCATGCCCCTCGTCATCGTTCTCGAAGGGTTGGTCTAAAACAGAGACTGGGCTGCATTGCTCCTTCTCTTCCTCTTCCTCCCTTAATTGTGATTTCTCAACACTCTCCGTTCCATCCTTTTCTTTGTCCTGTTTTGCAATTCATAACAACCATCATTAGAATATTGTCCCAAACATTATTTGTCCTAATGTCAATGGATTTGGACCCGAACCGGTGTCATATTTGGATTTGATATTGACTTCTAATTTGTTTTTATTTATTTATTTATTTATCACCAACAAAACGATTCTTTTAATTTAGACACGAATACGAATTATTTTCTAGTAAATCGAATGTCGGGGCGTAACAATAGAAAACAAGAGAAGAAACGAAAAAATAATTTGTCTTGTTTCAAGTAATTAATTCACTAGACAAGCCAGCGTAAAGTGAAAAAGATGCGATAAGATTTGCATGGAACACACAGGATCGGGAGACGGGAGGTACTGGTACAGTCATGAAACCGGAAAAACCCAAAGCCCTGCAATACACTTATCTGACCCTTCACGCACAGGATCTTTGGCAAAATTTCCACCTAACTATGACATGGTATCAGTGTTAATCAACAGCAACATACCGGCCAAGTTTGTTGACCGAGATACTGTTGCCGACAAAAACGACCGCCGAACAAGCTCGGTTAACTCGAGCCAAGTCAAACCGGTTGTTGCAATGTGAGTTGTAACATATTCGCCACCATAAAATAGAAGGATAAGGGGGAAAAAGTGACAAACCTCTGCTCTGGGACGACTTGGCGACATTAATTCCGGGGTCTGGTGGCCAGAAGAGGGGCTACTCCGTAATACAAAGCGAAAGGGGCTTTCGCAGAAGTCGTGATCACAGCAAACACAATCTGTAACGTGTTTCTGGTTGGATTCGGATAAAAGGTCAATATCGTGGGATTCATCGGAGTAGCTAGTGCTGCTGGATGTTTCCATGTCCAGAGATTTATCCTCATTGGTCTCAGACCATACAGCACTGCTAGGACGTCCATTGTAAGAACATGGAAAGCCCACCTGATCATTAGATACCATTTGTTCTTCATTTTTCTTGCTTCTGTCACCACCCCCATCTTGTATTTCCCTCTTTCGGCTTCGCGGCGTTAGTCTTTTGACTAGTGACCTGAATAAACCAAACCCATTTGTCTTATTGTGGGTTTTAGATTTAGAAGATGATGGATGTCTCTGAACTCGGAGAGCAGCTTCGAGAAGGAGTGCGGCCGTTCGAGAAGGGATATGGAGGAAGATGGCATTAGGGGACTTGCATGGGCTCTTGACCGGAGATGCGAATTCCAGGAATGGCGAGCTTAAGAGATCAGGGGTGTTGCGAAAGGAGAAAAAGCAAGCATTTTTACAGAAATCAGGGCTGAAGCTTGAGTTGTGATGATGGATTGGTTTTGGTTTCTTAAGTTGCAGAGTAGTGCTGGGCGAAGGCCTTTTCGTCAGCTGGCTCCGCCTATCAGAAATGTACTTGTTTAATAGGAACGGCTCTTGATCTTCCTTGAGTAGCTCATGTAAATGGCGAGCCATCATGAAATTGAAAACAGTATGTGTGGCGGCTAGAGGTGGGTGCGAGAACAGAAACGTGTAATGCGGAGCCAGAACAAAGCACTCTGGTAGTTGTGAGAGGTGGAGGGCTCAAATAAGGTCCATTGCCAGCTTATACGGAGAAGGAAGGAGGAGACTTCCGGATTCAAATCTGGGCTTGGGTTAAAATATCGAGGCAAGATGGGTGGGTGGGGTGAACCGGTGATTAACGAATTATTATATTATTTTAAAACAATAACATATTCGGGAGTCACTTGTCTTTATCCGGGTACAATGAATAGAAAATAAATAAAATTTGGTGCAAATTGTAGGTGTTATGGAAAGCCCGGGATGGAGGAGTGTTTTATGTGGTCTCTCTCTTCCGCACTTCGGAAGGGAACTGCTCTTCACAGCATACGCGTACCCGCGGGGGTGTCAGAAAACAAAAGTAGACCAGAGGGAGAGAGATAAATACTGTACTATACAAGTTTAGATTCGTTCACTAACAAAAAAATCGATTACCAACAACAGATATTAGAAATTTAACCTTTGTTATTTCCGCCTCCCCGGCCGGTTTCCTTCTGCTACAGACTGACAGCTCTAATTATCTTGTCATTACTGGTTACTACACGACAGATCCTGATATTAGTGCTATATTATTACATAGGCACATGCCTTCATTAATAAATCCATCATAGGATATGGTTCCTTGATTAAAAATTTTTCTACTGTCCCTCCCACCTCCTCTGTTTTTTCTTTTTTTTTTAAAAAAAACGTCTCTGACTCCCGATTAAGATTGTGCGCATTTTGACTTGGCAATCTGTTACTAAAACATTCAATTATATGTACCCAAAAAAAAATTCAATTATAAGCCCAATTTATGACACATAATTACTTTCACATTGGCATATGTTGCGGTAGGTCCTGGACTCTTGGTATATATAGCAGCAGGAACAATGTCGTCAATAATGGTGGCAAAAATTTTGCTTGACGAGGGACTAGTTTTGTGCAAAAACATTCTCAATAATGATGTTAGTTACCGAAACACTTGCTTTACAGCTGGATAAAACATGATTTGAAATAAAAAATAAAAACATTTGCGGGAAAACCTGAGCTTTTGACGATCTTGATCCTAAGCCGAAGACGTTGAGGGCAATTGAGGAGAGAAGGTTGGGAAACGTGGGGGCGGCATGGCACTAGAGCCCAAACGGGAGCTAAACGACGAAAACAGGGGCGTGGCAACTTGCTATGCCAAATTCTGGTTCAGCCAAGAACCAGATCTTCATCTTTTTTATTTTCCTTTCATCACTTGTTGCGGACTATCTTTATTGGCTTCTTACTCATGTACTTATACTGAGGAACGATCGCTCCCAACCAAAAATGCAGTGACTTAAGAGGCCCCTACTGCTTATTGCTGCATCTCTCCTGGCTTCTCTACCTTTTTTTTTTTTTGAACTGATAACCTGTTCAGTCCTTTTCCATTTCCACTCACCTTCACCTTTAATTTAAATTTCAAACTATGCCCGTGCATGCAGATGTTCTCAATATATATAATATATAATCTCTGGGAGAAAGAAACATTATGAAGTGCATGTACTATGTTTTCTATATTTATATATACGTACATATATAAATTATCGGGGCTCATGTGCTGTGCCGAGGGGCGTTGGGAGGAGCAACGCGTGACGCTCCCCAACACATGATATCGCAGTATCAGCGTTTACTCGCTTTTTTCTTCATCAGCAAATGCAAAGCCTTGTGCTTCGAACGGACAGTCAAGACTTTTTTAACCAAAAGGAAGAATGTGGGTGTGTGTTTGACGTACGAGTGTCATCGCACGCTTTCACTATCATCCCCAAAAGTAAAACCAAGTCAATTGCGTTCACACAAAACACATATGGCAAGGCTCTCGCCTCCCGGCCTGCAACTTTTGTAATTACTTCTTGAGTAATAGTACATCTCTTTTTCACTTGAAAAACAAAAAATACATATGGCTCGTGCTTGCTTGTTCTGTGACTTTGTGTGTATGCACCTGTCTCTACTCCTGTTCCTGTCGCGGGGAGTGAAATGGCACCTTCTCCCGGCCCTCCCTGTCATCCTCTTTTGTTCCTGAATATGATGTTAAAGCACACAACCTTCTTGCCTCAGTTTTACCACATATACAGTATGGCTGTGGCTGTGTCCGACTGATATCATTTTAATCGGACAAACAGGAATATAATTAAAGACCGAAAACATTTTAGTTATTGTGGCCATGACGGAAGTTACTGCTATAATCGTCGCTTATGTTAAGTATGAGCCGTTTCAATTCAAGTCGTCGCTTTTAATTAACTCTTACGTACATCCATGTTAATGTTGCCCCAACAGGATTTTAAAAACGTATAATTAGCTGTTTGTGCCGGTAATTCAAAATAAAGTTTTTTGATTTCCACGAAGACTCATGTTTCTGGTTGAGTATAAACATACAGGAACGTGCTTCCTATTTGTTTGGTTACACGTATACTTTACAGGGAAAGATACAAGAAAGTGTATCGAGTTAATCAAATAAATTAAACAACCGATAATTTAATTAACGGGTTTGGTGCACGCCCATATTGACTCCAGAATTGTATTACTGCACAGACAGAAGAAGAGCGCACACAGATATATATATATATATATATATATAAAAGAGTTAATGTTAATGGAATGGCTTCCGGCGTTCTATATATATGTATATATGAATGCATCCACGTTGACGTGTCACCAAATTTAATCTTGAAATCTTCAAATCGAGGTTGATGTGCACATGCTAAGTATCAATTATGCGGGCATTAAATAACAAGAAGATGCGCATCCTAGTTAGGTGATACATTGCTGATTGCTGATTGTTGCAGGTTAACGTAAGCCCGGAGGCCGACAGCTCCAATTTGTAGTTTTGTATGACGACATATATAATACAAAGTTACTTGTCTGCTGCTTGTTGTTGATGAAGTAGCATACCTGGGTAATTAACGTCTTTGCCCTTCACATGATCCTTAGGAATATCAGGGGTTCTCCACTAATTTTATCTGAGTTATGATTAATTGCACGCCCCGCGCCACCTATCTGTTTGCCATGAGACGTGGAAAATAAAGGGGGTGCTCAGGACTACGTGTAAAAGTGGCACTCCTAGCAAAAAAACAAAACAGAGGGAAGATAGTTGATCAGAGATCATGATGGTGAGGAAATCCAAAGTGGCCCCATGCATGGCGATCACAGAAGGTCCTGGTAAAACGACGGTGAGTTTAGGCCGTGCACCGTCATGGGGGGAGTCCATTTCCCACGTGTATAATAACAGTGTTGAGGGACGACCTCGTCCACGTGTCAGGGTCTGTCTCCTGACGTGGCACTTCTACCCCTTCCTCCTTCAGCATAGGATTCCCGTCCCCCTTCTGTGATCCATGCCAAAATCCTTGCTTCATTTTATATTATATTCCTCGATACCAATGATCTTCCCTTCTTCCATTACTCCGGTAGTCCATTTGGAAAGCTTCAATCAACCTTTATTGTTAATTACACGAAACTATATTTATCACAATTTTCACCCCTCTTCTCGTCACTGCTTCATTGATTGTTCGATGAAATTTAGCTGTGGGCGATTATCATATTATTCGTATGAAAATGATAAGGGATTAAGTTTTGAGACGAACTCAATTCGCAATATATGGATATATAGTTAAAGAGTTTGACTTTTATATATATAGACTGGGTTCTAGAAAGAGCGCACGTGGGAGAATGCAGCTAGAGAGGAAAACAAAATCGCTCAAGAAGAGAAATAACGTATGGTCGTGGCAATGTGAGATGGTGTCAACTTGATATGAGCAACAGCTAGCTAGCATGTAAATGTCGAGCAGGGTTGTCTGTATCAGGCCACTAGTTAGTGGCTACGCTCCAAAACACGTCGGGCCTCCCCAAGTAGAATGAGATGCGTGGGTTAATTCATTTGCAGTGTCCGTATTGTATATTTGTGTCGTGCGGTGCAACATCAGGAAAGCGGAGAGAAGATGCGCGAAACAGTGGTAATTTTATACTGAAAACAGGTCTCTCTGAGACCAGACAAGGAATCTCGTGCAGTGTATTAAATTTAGAATCGACAAGACGGTTGAGGCAGAATAATGGTTGCGCAGAAGAGGTTCTCTTCACGTAGCCACTGAAATGGAATTGGATATTTGGCATCACGAATCCAGCCTCAGACATGGAAATGGGATTTTATATGATACACTGTGCTTTCTGCATAATGGCAGTATTCATAAGAGTGAGATTCAACCCCTTGGCACTGGGCAGTGATATGTACATATTATGGCACCAATCATGAGACCATGTCGTTTCGGAATGTTCTTCCATGCCCCTAAATAAATGCCGTGCCATCGTTTCCTTCGTCTTTACCCCACACCCGCTTAATTTGCATCAAATAAATAAATACACAAACCCCCGTCTGGCTTCGTTCACATCATAAACCCCTGTTTGCCCGTTACCTCTCTATCCACACTGACGTCGGAAAACTGATTATCAATATTTTCACGTCTTCGATTGGATTCTTAATGAGAGCGTCGCCAGTAATTAATTTCTACAGTTCAAGATGACATCGTGTGATTAAATATACAAAAAAATGATTCCTCATCGTCACATATAATGCTGAATAATTATATTAGTCCTATGTTTGTTTAGAATAGCTAGCTACGGGGTGGATGAAATGGAATCCGATGTGTGGCTTCGAATCGTTAAATCGTGTAAGGAACCGTGCGGGATGCTTCTCCCTGACCCTTGATTAATCAGCAAGATTCCTTCCTACACATCGTCAATCATGGTTAAATGTCAACTGGTAATACTAGTAATTTATAACACGTTGCTTGTTATGTACTACTGATCCGGTTCTAATTATAAAACCTCGTTTGTAGTCATACTTGTTATATACTATTGATCTGGTCCTAATTATAAGACCCTGTTTGTAGTCTACAAACACGGGCTTATAATTAGGACAGGATGAGTAATATATAATACTTCCTCTCTTCTTAATATAAGAGCTGGGTTGGCTTTTATTTTAGTCCTA